TGCGTACTTCGTTCGGTTACGTATTGCTGCTAAGTAGTACCAATATGAGTTCAACCCAAATCCTCAGTAGTATGACAATACAGAGTGTTCGTTAGCAGTAGTCAATAATATCACGTTATTATGTAATCAACGGGATGCCAGAACATATTGATACTATTTCATGAATGAGACATATTTATCGTCAGAAACAAATTCGTAGAGTTTTCACGAAGGAAGCTCCTCTCGGCAGCGACACCACTGTTCATCCAAACCCATAAGTCTCCACCATTGGTATGTTTGAAATCATTGACATAGAAATAGCTGGTTGTAATATTGGTGGTTCTTGTGGTAGACATCGTTCAATTCCTTTTCGTATTGAGTGTATTTACTCAGGTGTTGTAATCAATTTCTCAACGATAAATCAATTTGCTGTTGAGGAAATATTGTGGAAGATTTCGTAGATGGATGGCAACATCAAACCCTTGAATCATCGCGATGGATGACAGCCAAAGTCAAGCATGAACGAACATGCCTTCGTTGACATGGATGCGAGCCCATGCGACGTTGGCTTGGAACGTTCCCAATCCTTGGCGTAGTGAAAGTTGAATAAACCGTAAGCTTGCTTGTGGTGAGTCTTAACAATTCACCAAAGAATTCACCTCTGGGCAAAAATTGCGCCCATTTATAAGTTCGTAAACATCTCCATATATTGATCAAGATTACTAGAAATGCAGGGTGTGTATATATATAATAATGGTTTCATGATGGAGACGTAAAGCGACAATTAATTGAAACTTACGGTGTAAAGTGCCTTGTCGTAGACCAAAGTGTGACCCATCTTGATGTACTCCTCGAACATCAGTGGATCCTCCACGCGGTAAACGATTTCGAAGAGGAACTTCTGTTTTTCCAAGAAAGCATGATCGGCTACGGTAACTTTGGTGGGCGAAGAAACGCTAGTAGCGGCCACTAGGCCAACGAGGGCCAATAGTACGATAGTTAACTTCATTACTACAACTGCTCCGGATTAGATACTCAGCTCCAATGCCTAAAGACTGTTGATGTTTCGACAACTTGGCAGCCTTTTTATACCAATTCACTTATCATTAACGTTAAGTTCTTGCCTATTGTCTGTTCTTGTATATTTCCATTGCATTTCTACTTGACCTTTTATGACCGTGATAGTGATCTAACACGTCGTATTATAAACATATTATTCATATGTATTTTGAAGTTGATAAAAATATGTTTAGGCTTGAGCTAATTTTCTCTGCTAAGTTCTATACTTGGCGGAGTACACTTTATCGGATGTTTTAGAAATTTGTTGATGCAGTTTTTTTTGATTGTTTGACATTATAATCTTTCTCTACTACCAGAGACAATAAGAAAACAATCCGCATCGTTTTTTTTTATTATAACGCTTTTATTTTTATTTTTATTAGCTTAGTATTTTTATGTGTAGGTGATCCATGAATTAGTTAAAGCAATCGTTTGGGGTTTATAGCAGACTTTTTTCCACCGCTTTTGAGGTTTGCGGTAGAAATCATAGGAATCAGTCTTCTGGTCTGAATAATCGAACGCACTCATTACTATATATTCATTAATGTTTTTCGGACAATCAATAAGCGTTTTAGTTCCATCAGATGGATATTGGTGCTTTGGCTTGAAGTCTGGATGGCTTTCAAGAGTGATGGACTTTTCGTCCTTGTGATTCGCCGTGGTTTCCGTTATTCTCGTCAGAGGTAATTTCTTCACAAACGTCAGTTTCTGAAGCGGAATCTGTTTGCTCAGAACTATCACCATTAAATTCGCTGCCAGCACCGAAAAATACTTGCATTATTGTGAGAAAAGCGTGGGGTGCATTTTCTCTCAATAATACAAGTAGTTTCGGTCAATATTACTATCGGTTAATATTAAGAATTATTTTTCACGTTTTAGTTTGAAGTTCTTTAAAAGCGTGTTTTACTTTATTTATTTTTGAATTTTTTCGTGGCTTAACTCATGCAAATTTAGGGGTCACTTAGATCCGGAACATTTGAACCAATTCATGTGTGGAATAAATATAACTCACAGCAATATTTCATTACAGTTGAACCAAAAAAAAAAAAAAATTATAAACAAAATTAATTTCCGAACAGATGTGC